GCAGTCCTATTAGTTCATCTCATTACAATTTACAATACGTTTTATATGCATTGTGTGTGATACCAGAGTACATCAGCAATCCACAACCGAAGAGCTCCAAGATCATTGTTTATACCAGTAAATCGAAATTGTGTGAGTTTTCCACCATTACAAGGACCCTGCAAAGTTCACTTATAACTTTCAGTCCAAAGACAATCATCCCATTTGCATGATTTCTTTACTTCCAGCTGTGCCGATAGGACAGGAAATGAGGAAAACATTTCCCAATGAAGACAATAAAAATTAAAAAAAAAAAGTTCTAGCCTTTCTTTGTTCTATCAAGAACAATCCAACATTTGGGCTGGAGTCTGGTTTTACTATAAAGGTACATGTTATCTGAAGGAAGTATTGTATTGTATAGTCCCACATATTGTGGGGATAACTAAGGGAATCTCTTGATGCCAAGATGTTGGTGTTAACCTCCTATAGTTCAAATATAAAACATTACAGTGCAAAAAAAATTGTGTTATAAAAGAAAAATATAATAGAAGGACACACATTTTAAATGACTTAACATATGCTGTCACTTTCATGCCACTAAAAGCCCTTTCTTTTGCTTTTTAAAAAAGTGCATGTTGACTCTCAGTTTGGCATAACTAGCTCTTGAAATCTTGATTAATATGGTCGCCCTTCCTTAAATTACACAATTAGATGGCATAATAAATCCATGACACTCCTTCTTTTCTCCCTCTTCAGCTTAACTTGAATTGATTTTTTTTAAATGAAAGAAAAAAGAATGGATGACCTGTATTGAAAATGTTTATACATCCCTTTTGTAAAAATGTGACAGTTATTGATACTTGGATTGCACTCAACACTTTATTCCCATAAGACTTCATTAAACCTCCAGAATGGCTGTTCTAAGTTGTGTCTCGGAGCACAAGACATAAAAAATATGTTTTCCTCCCTCATAGAAATTAAGAAACAAATAATGAGATTCCCATTCCTTTTTTTAGTAAGGCTTAACATGCTTAATTGTCTAAAAATGCTCAGGGGCATATCTATATAAATGCAACACAGCAAAGTAAAATACAATCATATTTCCAATTTATGTTTTGAGATTTGCATTAAAAGCATGTCCACATGAATCATACACCAGCTTCTCATATGTCAGGGGGTCTCTGGTGGCAAAATGTGCCCTCAATAGTTCATTTATTTGCCACTGCTGGATTTTTTAGTTGTTTTTTTCTGCGTTATTTCTGCATTATGGGGAATTTACTTGGATAGCTTTTAGAATGTAAGCCCTCATGGGCAGGGCCCTCCTTACCATCTTGTCTTGAATTGTATAGTGATAGTAATGTCTTCCTTATATTGTATAGTGCTGCACAAACTGTTGGCGCTATATAAATCCTGTATAATAATAATATTAAAAATCATAATTCTCTCATTTGACTTTTTTAATTGCTAGTTGGGTGACACTGTGGATTCTGAAGAGAATAACTCTCGACTGGAATTCCTGAGAGATATAGGGAGGAAGTATTGTATTCAATGTAGCAACAACCATGCAAATATAAATGATACAATTATACATTTTTGTTTGAATTAATTTTGAATGGGGAATTCAGAAAATACTAAAAGTGCCCATAATTTAAAACTGTGCATGTTGTTAGGTTAAGGAATATCAAAGCATTTATAGAGTAGAGACCCTTTTGCATTCTTTGTCTTGAGCTGCTCTATGTAACCTCCTTCTGTTTTCTCACAAAAAGATATAGGCACAAATCACAGCATTAGCCTACTTTAGGTAACAAGTCTGCACATGAAACATTTTCAAAGAGAAGAAACATCCCTTATGTCAGAAGACATAAATAGGTGTAGAGATAAGGGATTTGTATAGGGTGAGTAACCTCAAGAAAACTTACTTTTACTTATAGATGGTTCCAGATGAATCTCAAAGTAAGAATAAGAACATTTTGCAAAGGTAAGCTCTTCATGAAAGGTCCCTGACTCATTATCATAATACAGATATGAGAGTTGATAACAACTAAGCACAATATAAAATATAGTATTTTAAACATTTTTAGTTTTTCATAACTTTTTGGTTTGGGTAATGCATATCTCTCTCTCTCTTTCTCTGTGTATACATATCTATATATATCTATATATAGATATATATATAGATATATATAGATATATTGGGAGGGTTTACCTTCAAATGTAGCCATCCTTGCAATTAGGGCTATACTACGTTGTCCACGTAGTAGTTTTGAACATAGCTTCAAACAACATGATCCTTTAGCTTCCTGGCTACTTTGTCTGCTCAGTCTGTTTCTGTGCGGCACCAATGGTTTTTCTTCCAGGCTAGGTCAGAACAACTGTCTCTCGGGCTGGAACCCAGAACCACACTCCTCATGTACAGACTTGTGTACACCTGCACAATCAGGGGATCTGGTTACCATATACAATGTGCACCGAGGATTAGAAGGCTTCATCCCATCCAAAACTCTTCAAAGACTCTAGGACCAAGAATGAAACCTACCTAGCTACCTACTAAAAAGCTCTAGGCAACGCAAGTAGCATCCACATACTGTTATGGCAGATTTTTCTCTCT